CCTGCAAAATGGCATGGGGAGTTTTCTGGAGAGATGAACTCATGTGCTAACTTCTTCGAACAGTCCCGCACATAGAGTGAGCATCCAGCTACTATAAGCATTACTATTAGCACAGAAAATAATTCGTCCCCTCTAATAGCCTTTACCCACATTCCTTCTTTTTTTTTTTTTTTTTTTTTTTTTTGGAGAGGTTTTCACTATAGGGAGCGTGTGCTCGCCAGACAGAGAGAGACATAGAGACAGAAAGCGAGAAATCACCCCCCAGAGGGGATGGCCACGCCGCAATCCCTTCTCTTCCATTCTCCTCCCGGGATCTTGGGCACGCACGCACACGCGCCCAGCGTGAGTTTTAAGCCACCGGGTCCGGGATGCAAACCACGGTCAACTACGTGGGAACCCAGCGACATAGCCATTACGCTAACTGCTGGTTCCCCCCACATTCCTTCTTTAGAAAAACCAAAAAAGTCTAGAGCTAGCCCTGTTGCCTAATGGTTAAGTGCGCTGGGTCCCACATGGCCGGCCGCGGTTTGAGAGTCCGGACTCAGGCAGCTTAAAAATATGTGCATGCACGGCCCAGTTCCCAACAGGATAACGAATGGAGGAGAAGGGATTGCAGCGTGACCGTGCCTCGCTGAGGGATGCTTTCTCCCCCCTCCCAGTCCTCTGCTCCCTCTCTGTCTCTCTGTCTTTCTCTACCGAATATACATGCCCTCTGGCAATTAAAAATACAAGTTTATTTTTTTCATGATGAAGCGCTCATGCACACTGCAGAGAGAGAAAAAAAAAGAGAGGAACAGAAACAGCGCCCACGGACCAGAACCCCTTCTGCCGCCCTCTGCCTCGTCAGAATCGCGGGTGCGCACTTGCCGCCGGCTGCGTGTTTCTGTCCCGCCTGGGGATCTGAGCCCACAGCTGGCCGTGTGGCTTCCGGCAGTGCGGTTTAGCTGGCTCCCGACCGGGCCCCCAGCTGGGCCTTCACACCCCTCTTACCCAGTGATCACAGCTTGAGTCTGCAGTAGCTGATCCGCAAAGCAGATTTCTGAGTGATGGGAGGCAGGGGACGCCAAGGAGCTCGGGGGTCTACAGTCAGAGGGACGTTTTGCTGGTTTTTTAATTTTTTTAGTTTATGTATTTTTTTCCATGAGGAAGAAAGACAGCACCCCCACAGGGCCCTGCCATAGCAATTCACTCCCAGCCTCACACCCTCCCAGGCAATGGGCACACACATGGCTGGTAGGCTGAGAGAGGTCTCTGGACGTGACCCTGGGACCTTCTCGTGTGAGTCAGCCTCGCAGAGTACTGTGCTTTTACCACCGCACCATGGTCTGGCCCTCGGAGGGTCATCCTGAGCTTGAGCCTTCGCTCTGCTAAAGACGGAGTTAGGATTTTTTTTTTTTTTTTGAGAGAGAGATTTTTGTTATAGGGTGCGTGTGCTTGTGGGAGAGACAGACAGAAAGTGAAAAGTCACCCCCCCAGGGGGGTGGACATGCCTCAATACCTTCTGGAGTGAGTTTGAAACCACCAGATCCAGGACTCGAACCACAGTTGACTCTGTGAGAGCCCAGCGACCTAACCATTATGCCATCTGCTGGTCCCTGGAGTTAGGATCTTACACAAGTCCTTTATTTCACCCGCCCCATATGTCCAAAAGGCATGTGTCTGTAACTTTCATTATAGGGCTTGGATACATGTAACTCGCTGTCTTGGGGAACATTTATGTAATTATGAAAAATGTTTAAATATTGACAAAAATAAGCTCCTTTGGTCTGAACCTACTACACATCGCAGGGCAGCAGCCAGACTGGAGCAGGCTGATGATTCAGGCAGAAGTTGTGAATAGAACTGGTTATTTTTTAGGAAAGTTGTACTTTCTTTGTAAATTTAGGACTATTTCTTTGTCTTCGAGCAGTTTCTTTGGCAGTCTTATTTTTCTGTTGGGTTCATTTGAATTCAATTTGCCAATAGCCTGGAATACTTTTATTAAACAACCTGGTTCACGATTGACTTAAATCTTTACAGTTACACAACCTGTGCTTAGTTCATTTCCATTTATAACCCATTATTCCCTTGAATAAGCTATAATTGTTGACAAATCGCCTATAACCTAGTAGGTGTTTCCATTCCACTCTAATGGGCACGTATCAAACTGCTCACATTCCAAAACAGATGGAGAACGGGATGAACCTTTCTGCTCTGCAAAAATGAGTTACTTTAGGGCCAGCTGTGGACTTGGCGGTTAAGGCAGCTGGATGCTGCTTAGCTGACTATGCAGTTCGAGTCCTGGACCTGGTGGCTTGAAAAAAACACTGGGCACATTTATGTGTGTGCCCCAAATCCCCGGAGGAGAACGGAGAAGAAAGGATTGCAGTGTGGCCATCTCTCCCGCATGCGTGTTGGGAGTGGGGTGCTTTCTCATTCTCTTTCTCCTTCTCTGGAGAGTGCATGCATCTTCTAGTTACAACAACAAAAAAGAATTATGTTAAATTAGAAATAGTCTATTAGCTGTATTGTGTTTGGGGGAAATCAAAATACTTCGTATGGTATAGAACTAGTAGTGTTTTCTTTCTCCCTGTTTCTGTGCCTTTTTTAATTTGAAAAAGTAAGTACCTGAAACACAACTCTTACATGATACACACAAAGCAATACATGGTACAGTTGCATATTTCAGGTTGTGGTTGCAGGGGTCGGTTACAGATCACGTATTATCACTGTTTGACATGAAGAAAGGTCTGGTTGATATAGCTCCTCACATCTGAATGGCTCAACCTGAGTCTAAGGAAGAAGCCACATGGATGAGGATGAGCCGTGACCTTCCCAGAGTTTCTGTGGGTGAGGGCTGCCTAACACACAACTTTGGATTGGAGCTGGCGCTCCCGAGCCGGGAGAGAGCGTGATCTGGTGCCCAGAACCTGAGCATCGGAACCTGTGCTTGGTGACTCGTCACTGTAGGAGGCATGCAGCTCTCAGAGAGGCCCCATGGCCTGGTGGTTAAGGTGGCTGGCTCCCACCTGGCCATTCCCACAGTTCGAGTCCCAGACTTACGAACTTGAGATAGATGGTGTGTGTGTGTGTGTGTGTGTGTGTGTGCCTGCCCAAAATCCCTGAAGGAGGGAGAGATGGAGAAGGGATTGCAGCATCACCATTCTGCATGGGGCATGTTTTTTTCTCTCTCCCTCTCTGTCTCTTTCTCAGGTGAGTACTCAGACTCTCTAATGAACCTCTAATGAAAGGGGAAAAAGAAAAGAATCGTGGATGTGCTCTTCAGATAACTCGACATTTCCTCCTTCCACAAACTCACCATGGAGTTTCAGGCATGCACACAATTCCCAGAGTTTCCTCTGCCGAACACACTCTGCCTCTGAAGTCTAGGGATCCCTGTGCCTAGGGTGCACTGAATAGCAGAGGATGCCTCCCACGCTGGGCATGACCACACTTGACTTTTTTTTTATGACAACGGGTCAGGTTCTGAAAACCAGGAGACAAAGACTGGTCAGATATCTCACCTGCCCTGTAAGAGTTGCTGCATGCGGTGTCTGTCACACCACGGAGACTCCAGGCCCAGTTACTCACAGGCCACCTCGCCGCATCTGACGGCTTTGGGTTCTTGTGGACGCTTTCACGTATGTTAGATACATTCCGTTAGTGAGCTCATATAGCAGGTGTGTTTCAGAAAGCCAAGAATACACCTTTTTTTTTTTTGGAGAGGTTTCTGCTATAGGGCGCATGCACTTACCAGAAAGGCAGAGAAAGACAGACAGAAAGCGAGAAATCACCCTCGGGGGGATGGCCACGCCGCAATCCCTTCTCCTCCATTCTCCTCTCGGGATCTTGGGCACACACGCACACGCGCCCGGCGTGAGTATTTTAAGCCACCGGGTCCGGGACTCGAACCACGGTCGACTAAGTGGGAGTCCAGCAACATAGCCATTACGCTAACTGCTGGTCCCAGAATATACATTTTTAATCTTTTATCATTTTTTAACTTCTAACTTATTTATGACCATTTCTCTTCTGAATGAGCTTCTAACAAAATAGAAATACGTCTGTCTAAGTTTCAAAAAGAAACAAAATGATGGCGGAGAAGGATGTTGTCAGGTCCCCGTGAGTGTCATCAGCTCTGAACGGCTGCCTCTTCAAACTCGTCGCAGGCTTCGTTAGTGCATCCAGAGATGCCGCTGATGGGGCCCGCCGGTAATCGTCCCCTTCTTTGCCGTCCTGCTTGCTGGAAATTGTTGGTAGAATTCAAGCAAGAACTAATTAAGTTCATTGGCAGAACAATTGAATGGGGGGGCGGAAGGCATGGAGGGCAACCATGGATGCCAGGGACAATGGAGGAGGAAGATGGGACATGGCAAAGGGTGGGGGATGGGGAATCAGGGATGGCAAGACAAAGGGCAAGGTATGCAAGATGTAAGAACTGGAAAATTATTTGCTGAGAACATGTATGTTGATGTGCTTGATTGAACACAGTGTATTTTGGATGGAAAAGTCATTGGTATGTTGTGATGGTGTATAGTGAATTAATGTAGAAAATAAAAATAAAATAAAAATAAATAATAAAAAAAAGAATTTGAAAGAAACACAACATCCATCAGATGAGAAGAAATCACCGCCGGATCCCGTGGAAAAAAAAAAAAAAAGAATTCAAGCAAGAGAGTTGGGTCATAGCACTCGCCCGTATTTTCCTTCATGTCTGTATTTTCCCAAAGCTGCGTTCCGAGGACCCCGGGCTCGGAGGAGTGTTCTTTCTGTGGAATTTCTGCAGTCTAGGGATGGAAGCCAGCGACTGGCCCCAGGCACCGTTGAGTACGTCACAGGCGTTTATACTCAGTCTGTTTCATCGCCCATGGGTGATTGAAACAGCCCAGTTGGTGAACAGCCAAGGGAAAAAAGGGGGTTAAACAAAAATCCCAATTGTGTTATGTCAAGTTCAGTCTGTCACGATGAAAACTTAATTTAAAAATTTGCTCACCCAAGAACATATCTCTGGATCGTTTCAGGCTGTGACTCTGCAATTAACCTGACATTTCCCAAATCCAAAATTGCCGTGGATGAACTCTTCACTTCGCTTCGGGACGTCGCTGGGGCTCGGAGTCTCCTGAAGCAGTTTAAGTCTGTGTACGTTCCCGGAAACCAGACCCACCAGGCAAGTGCACGTGTTTCCCGGTGACCCTCTGGTGGGTTGTGCTTTCAGGATTCAGGGGCTCCGACTACAGGGGAAGTTTCCGTTTTAACCTCTCTACGGCGAGGCTGTAGAGGAACTCCAAGCTCCCTTTCAGTTCACAGTCCTGGGCCTCACTGAGTCCGCAAGCCCCTGGAATGTATTTGTCCCTCACGCTCGAGGCGGTGTGCCAAGCACCAGACTAGGAGTAAGCGACGGCTTCATAGCGGTGGGTCTGTCACAGATTTATCCCACACCTTTAGGAAAGACCCTTCGTTTCTTTCTTTTTTTAGAGAGAGATTTTTGCGGTAGAGCGCATGCACTCATCAGAGAGAGAGAAAGCGAGAAACCACTTCCCCACCGGGAAGGTGGTGGCCTTGTTACAATCCCCTCTCCTCCATTCTCCTCTTGGGATTTTGGGCACGCACATGTGAGTTTCAAGCCTCTGGGTCTGGGACTCGAATCACAGTCAGCCATGTAGGAGACCAGTGACGTAACAAATACGCCATCATGTCTGGGGCCCACTTTGTGACTGAGCCACATGGGAAGGTTCTGGGTTCAAGTCCGGAGGCTATGCTGAGTCAGCGGGCCCATGTGTGTGCTCACGATTCAGGCTGGCCGAGCTGGGGATAGATCGCGTTGTCAAGACACCGCTGGGGTGCCAACTCTCTCTCTCTTTGTCTCTCTGTCTGTCTCACTCATGGAAGAAATAAATAATGAAATGAAAAAGTCCTTTTGCTCCTTCGAACCCCGGTTACTACCGGACCAAAGGAGGGGCTGACTTTTCCCAAGTTTTGAGATCTAAGCAATCCATATACATTCTCAACAACTAAAATAATCCAAGTACCTGATCATACTATGACAAGGAATAAAGACGCTCGTGACAGGGAGGCCCATTGTCATTTGAAGTCCCCACTGCTTGCTAAGGAGGGCAGGAGAAGCTAAGGAGGAAGGTTTGACCGTTAGTAGGACGATGATATGCGAATCTAAGATTAAAGGGCGTGTTTGTTCTGAGCAAACTCAGAAGGGGAGATGCAGAGAAAGACCCAGAGAGAAGCTTCGGGAGTAAAGGAGGTCCAGCATCATCAAAGTGGGGCAGTCTCTGCTGGGTAAACCAGGAGACAGGACTGAGGTCCCTGCTGAGCAAAGATGCGCTAGCAGGGAGGAACGAGTGTTTCCGACAGGGAAGGTCACTGTGTTCTGCTGCAGGGAGTCTTACCTCGTCTCCCCAGGAAGTCTGCAGCCCTCTGCTCCACTTGTTAAGGTTTGCAGGGCTGTACGTGCTATTCATGGGGACTGTGGTTTAGTGAGGGGCTCAGCCTCAAGGTGCGGACTCTTTAAGAGACACGCAGATGGGCGCTAGTGTTACCTGCTGCAGCCTAGCGAGACCCGGGTTCTTCCTTCCTTATGTTCGTCCAGGAGCTGGTATTGGGAGAATACTTGCACGTTTTCCATTTTCCCTCTGATCCCCTCCATGAGTAAGCCAGAGAGGGGTTGTTATGCCAAGACCCTGAAGACCAAGTGACTTGCCACAGGCACACAGGTGGCCGGGGCAGATGCCAGGCCTTTGCCACCCACACAAAACCTCACCCCCTACTCTTCTATGGCTCTCGTGGCGAGTCTAGAGGTGTGGGCTGATGTCAGTCCAACTCACCCATTAGGAAACTGACGACCTGAGGAACTGCCACTCGCGTTAGGAGCACCGCGATTCCCATCCTTTTTTCAAAGATCTGAGCGCCATCGTCACAAAACACAAACGAAGCCACTGAGGTCGCTCATCACTTGTAGTTTCGCAGAAATCGGCAGTCTTAACTCCTGACATGGCCTAGTGCCCAAAGCCACGCTAGAACTGCTGCTGTGTGCTGAAACTTAGGCCAAAGCGTGTCAAGAAGTCGCTGCTGTGGTCGGCCAAGGGAAAACAAGTCTCTGAATAACGACGAGGCCTGCTGCACTTCCTGATGCTCACAATAACTGACTTGGCCAGCTTCCCGTTACCAGGTGTTAGCTCTGAATCCTGGGAGTGACATGGACAGTGGTGTGCCCCTCACCCTATCTCCCTGCTGCCAACACAGTCTCACTAGGCCTCACTGCCCATCCCGGTCATGGCTGTTCAGATGCAGAGAGCAGACACCACTCTAGCCGTTCCAAGGGGAACACGGTCTAGTACAGGGAGTTAGGTGGACGTAGAGTCTCTGGAAGAGCCGGAGGAAAGAGTCCCAGAGCATCCCCTGGCCCTTGGGAGCCAGGTCCTCTGCCGCAGGCAGGGGAGTGGGGCTGAGGGACCAAGAGGCAGCCGTGCCGCTCCTGTCTTTCAGAGCGTGTGTCGAAGCTGGAGCCGGCATCCGGGCTGCTACGGAGCCTCGCTCAGGGCTTCCCACTTAGTGGATCCTGCTCCGTGGCTTTTACCCAGAGTGGCATTTCTTATGTTCTTAAGTCCTGACAAGAGGGAGGCTGGCACAGAGGCAGCAGAGCAGGTTTTAGAGCCGGAGCATCTAGGTCCGTAGCCCAGCTGCGCCCGACTCACTGTGCGACCTGAGGCAGGTCACTTCACCTCTCTGTGCCCACTTCCTCCTCGGGGAGGTGGAGCCAGAAGTAGCAGCTCTGTCATATTTGGAGAGTTCATGCTTGAGAAGCCCGCAGGCCCGTGTCGGCCACCGGGCCAGCGCCGCATGAGCATTTGCTGTAGCAGCCACGGCCGTGGTAAAGATCGGGAGTCCTCTCTGTCCTCCTGCAGCTTTTCATATTCTCCGTCAGGTTCTGAGCTGCATAGGAAGAGTGTTTTCTTTCTTTTTTTTGGAGAGGTTTTTGCTATAGGGCGCGTGCGCTCGCCAGACAGAAAGAGACAGAGAGACAGAAAGTGAGAAATCACCCCCCAGGGGGGATGACCACGCCACAATCCCTTCTCCTCCATTCTCCTCTCAGGATCTTGGGCATGCACGCACACGCACCCGGCGTGAGTTTAAGCCACCGGGTCCGGGACTTGTACCATGGTTGACTACATGGGAGATTAGAGACGTAGCCATTGTG